ATGAGGAAGGAAGAAGATTTCTTTTTTTTTTATTTTTAAATTTAATTTTAAAAAGTTATCTAAAATCTATTAAATAAAAATATTTGTATGTAAAAAAGTCGAGATGAGTCATTTAAAACTTTTTGAAACTATATTTGATATTTTGAAATGTTGTAGATACTTGCTTAAAAATGCATGACTTTTTGTGTGACTTAATTTTATAGATCACAAGCTTTGACACGTTTATCTTAAAAAATAGTTTTTATTTTTTTATTTTTATAAGTATAATATTTAACTTAATTTAGTGAAATTATTTTATTTCACATTTTTTAATATTAATAAATATAGTTTTATTTTAAAACTATATGATATTAAAAACATATATATTTAGTCATACTTAAATTTCAATTGTCATCTTTATGTGCCTAAAAAAATATTATATTCAATGAATTATTATGACACACTTGTTGATTAAAACAAATTTCTATATGTTTTAAAAAATGATTCTTAATAAGAAATGGTGATACATAAATAAATATTTTGTTAAATAAATTTACACTTTAAAAATTCACTGCACATATAAATTTTGGTTTAAAAACAATTTTTGTTAAAAAATAGCAAAGTTACTTATTTTAAGGAAAAGAACAATTAAATTTATTTTCAGTTCACCGCACATATAAATTTTGGTTTAAAAATAATTTTTGTTAAAAAATAACAAAGTTACTTATTTTAAGGAAAAGAACAATTAAAATTATTTTAAAAAATAATAAATCTTTTAAGAAAAAGATACTAAATCTTTAAGTTATATAATTTATATATAAAATAAATAAATTTAAAAATAAGTTTATATTTAGTATTTATTTTGTTAATATTCTTGTTGATACTCATACTATCTTTTATAATTTGTTTTTTACTTTATTCAATTACGATTTATTTGCTATCTAAAAAATATAACTAAATTGATATTGTCAATATCAAAATAAATTTATATCATCGATTAAAATTAACTAATTTTATATAATAATTAGATTCTGTAAAAATTTATTATAATTTTGGTTAGATCATATAACATATTTTGCTGATCACAATTTTTCTACCACCCACATTTATTAATTAACTTTTGCAAGAAAATTTTGAGATTATAAGTAAAATCTCAAGTGGGATTGAGTAAATGACGTACGCATAAAATTGATGTTTGAAACTATATAAATAAAGTTTACAGCTTTTCGTATATATTAAATTTATAGATTACATTTAAGGTATACGTTGTAATATATTTTATTTATTTATTTGTTTAATTTATTATATAGCGTTTATTATTTTGCTCAAAATTTGGAAGACTAAATTCACATTTCTTTTAAATTGACATGGATACTGAAAATAACTATTTTAATTCTCATAATGGATATGCATGTGTTCATATCTTATAATTTTACGTATAATGTGAATTTGATATAATGTATATTTTATATTTTTTTAATTATTAAATGCTAAAAATTTTATGTTGTATTTAATATATTAATGGTAGTAAGTTATACCATATTAGTAAATTTTTGATGCCATATATTGTAACTCTATAATGATTTAATTGTTGTAATTGCGAGCAAAGATCCATCATAGAAAATAATATTTGAAAACAAATAATATTTTGACAGAAATTGGTAGAAGTTTTTGAATTTTTAACAAAATATTAGTTGCATATTGTCATTTATATGAGTAACTTTTTTTTTTGTTATATATCATATTTATATAACTTTAATGTGATAAAATCACAAAAAATTTGTTGCAAGTATTTTTTTAATGAAAATTGACATACTCAATGACTAGTTTATTTATCACAAAATAATATTTGTACTGTAATATTAAATATTACAGTTATTTTTTATTTATATAATTTAAACATTAAATGAAAGAGAGAAATAAGTAAAAAATTGAAACAAATTTGGGTGCAAAATTATTAAATAATGGCAAAATATAATTTTTTTTAAACATCAAATAATTTTTTGTGTTTTATTATTATTAATAAAAATTAAATTAAAAGAGTGTACTATTTTTAACTTACTAAAATTATGAAAAGATATATTTTATTGTAATTGACAATATATGACCTATGTGCTTCAAAGAAAATAGTCAATTAGTAATTTTTTAAAAGTATAATTTTATTTTTATCATGCATAATTTATTTTTTGAAATAATTTTTTATTAAAAAATTTTATACATATAAGTTTTGTTATCACAATTATTTTTTATTTAAATAATAATCACACAATCATCAGGGTACATCTAGCAATAATAATATTTTTACACGCTGTATAATAAATTTAAAATTTTTGGCTCTAATGTTCTAATGATTTTATCTCTTAATCCGAATTTGAAAAACCCCTCAGCTACTCCCACAGCTCTCGTTTGCGGGACCCGCTTGAGCCCGTAGGATTACACAGCTCAACCACAACGGCAGAGACAAACATCTTCATTCAAACACGCGCCACCTGTAGCAAGTTGATACCCACTTTCACGTGGGCAACTAATTTTGAAATCGCCACATCTCGTCGTCTCATTGGACCGTGACTTCACGTCCCGTTGAGGAAGCGTGGGATTTATACGCTATTGAAACGTACAACTCAAAATACCCCTTCCCCCTCTCTTTCTTGCTTTAATGATGTCGTAAGCAGCGCTCTAGACCCTCGTTTTGTCATTTTGGCTTCTCTCTCTTGCCGGCACTCGGCAGGAAAAAGAAAACAAAGAAAATTTGAAAGGGAAGAGACGCTCTCTCTCTCTACAACTCTGCGTGAAGGTGGAAGAGATCGGTAGATTGTAGTTACCAGGTGAGTCTATAGATTGTAGGTGAGAAATGTCTGAAGAAGAGAAATTGTTGAAGGAGGCTAAGAAACTGCCATGGGAAGATCGGCTATTGCACAAGAACTGGAAGGTGAGGAACGAGGCAAATATCGACTTAGCCGCGGTTTGCGACTCCATTACGGATCCCAAGGACCATCGTCTTCGCGAATTCGGTGAGTGTTCGTTTGAAGTCTTCATTCTTAGGGTTTCTGCATTTGACATTTCCTCGGTTCAGATCTGATTCCCGTTTTTTTCCTTCATCGATCTGATTGCATTTCTTCGTGCATGTAAAATGTGTTGTCGTGCAATGGTTTTCGGTTGATTTGCTCTTCTAGTTTTCGATTTTTCCTCTTCTTTTGATGGCTGTTATGGGGCTAGGTCCGCTGTTCAAGAAGGCGGTGGCGGATTCGAATGCTCCGGTGCAAGAGAAGGCGCTTGATGCATTAATTGCATACTTACGAGCTGCCGATGCTGATGCGGGCAGGTAAAGCTGCTTCTAATTTTGCTTTTCAATCTGCATTTGCTTATTTTTCTTCAATTGTTTTTTTCTTTGCTTATGATTTTGGAATTGATGCGCAGATATGCTAAGGAAGTATGTGATGCCATCGTCGCGAAATGCCTCACTGGCAGGCCAAAGACGGTGGAGAAGGCTCAGGCAGCATTCATGCTATGGGTAGAACTGGAAGCCGTGGACGTTTTCCTGGTATGTTTTCTACTTCCTATGCTTCCTATAATGGTTCGCTTGCTATGGAAAGTTATTTTCCTTCCAGTTGTGTTACATGTTTTACCACTTTCAAGTGGACTTTTCTCGGCAGTCTTTCTAAAGGTGATTCAACATTTGGTTAAACAACGGTAGTACAAAAGGTTGATAAATACTAGAAAACAGTGAAAAGAAATGGAACTCAGTACTACTGATATAAATTGGTGGTTGATGTTGCTAATTGTGGAAGAAATAACTGCCTCACACCTGTTGATTGCATGATCATTAACCGAGATTTGCTAGTTTGAAATTGAATAATCAAGTTTCTTATTGGTTTGCCATTTTCGAATGAACATTTTTCAGGATGCTGTTTAAAGTGATGTAACAGTTTATTAAATCCTGACTCTACAAAAAATGATGAATAATAGAGAAAGAGAAAAGGGAACTTGGAGTGACAGTAATTGATTGGTGGTTAATGTTACTAATTTTGGAAGAAATAGGGAGTAAGATGTGGATGTGATAAGAAATCTAAATGATTGAGAGATTGATGAATATGAGGCATTGCTACATTTACTTTCACTTGTCAATCTTAACGGTAATCATGACCAACCAATATGGAAACTCAAGAAGAAAGGAGAGTTCACAGTCAAGTCCTACTGCAGTTACTTGGTAAGAAATGTAGCTACAGGTGAAACCAGGTATCCGTTTAAGTAGCTGTGGAAGGTGAATGCTCTTCCAAGAATTGTTTTTTTTTATATATATGGGAAGAGGGAAGGGAGTATATTTTGACTATTGACAAACTGATGGGAAAGGGAAAATTATGGTGAATAGATATATGCTCTCTATGTAAGAGAGAAGTAGAACCTTGCAATCATATTCTATTGTGGTGCCCTACTGTGTATAAGTTATGGACTATGGTTTATGGGTTACTGGTGATTAGTTTGATTATTGTTGGTTCGGTTAGAGATGAGATTTGGGCATGGGATAGAACTAGTAAGGGGAGAAAAATTGTAGATCTCATTCTGCTTACTATGTTTTGGGTGGTTGGGAAAGAGAGTAATAATAGAGTTTTTGAGGGGGTGGAAGAAAAATTTATTGAAATCAGGGACAAATGGCTGCAATATTTGGGAGCATCGGTTATAGGGTATCCTATTCATGCAATGGAGGATCTTGGGAATTTTATAAGCATACTCAATGATTTGTAAATAATTTTGTATGTGCCTTCCCCTCAGTGCTTGTGAATTAATGATTATATCAAAAGAAAGATGTTACTAATTCTGGAAGGAATGGCTCACTTACAATACAATCTTTAACCAAGATCCTTTGTGCCTAAATAATTAATCACTAATAAGTAAGACTATAGTGTAGTTTGTTGGGTATAAATATGAGAACATTTACAAGAATTTTTTTTTGAAATAAAAAGTCTAACATATCACTAAATCATAACACCAAAGGGGTGTCATCCATGTTCAAAATTATTTACAAATCAGTTAGTAAGTTAATAAAATCCCAAACTCATCAAAATAAAGAATTGGTTACCCCAACACCAAAGAACCCAACACTTCGAGCCATCTATCTCTAATTCTACCTAGATCCTCTTCTTTTCCTTCAAAAGCTCCCCTATTTCTCTCATTCCACACAATCCAGAATATTGTAAGAGAGATGAGCTCTACATGCTTCATTCTTTTGCTAATTTCTTTCCAAGCCCATAACTCATTCTTGACCGATCCACCATTGCCAAACAATAGGCACTAGAATTTACAATTTATGTAAAATTAAGTCTAGCTAAAATTCTTAAGGCATGGGACCTTCCTTGGAGTTTCATGAGTTGTATAAAAGGTTTTCACGAAAATCAGTAAAGGAAGGAAAAGCTGAAAATCCAATAATTTAAATATCAGTCTATAGTCTGGTTACACTACAGACATGTATTGAAATATAGACATCTGACTTGCTTTCTTGGCTGGACATGCTACCTTTAAAATGCTCTCAAATATAAGTCAAGGATCCGAATAGAGGGAACTGAAATAAAACATCGTAGCAAATGAATATGGATTCTTTACATTTACCAAGCACGTGCCATAACTCAGTCATGAATTCATCATTTATAATAGTGATTCTTTCCTTGTCCTATATGTTTGTGACGTTCCTAGAGTTATTGGCTGATCAATTGCCTTATTTGGTGTTCTTATTATTTCTTTTTAGACATTTCGGGGTTAATATGTTCAATAACTCAAAAAATATGCCAAGTGTTGTGCATGAGAACTTAGAGAGAGATAGAGAGTTTGTGACATTCTTGATGTTTTGAGATTAATTAAAGGACAAATTGTGTATCATTGAATTTGACAAACACAACTGTTAGGGATGTGAAATCCGTTTTGGATGGATATGGCGCTAAACACAATAAGTAATGTTTTGTGACATTCAGAGTTGGAACAAACAAAAGGAAGCTTATGAGCTTTCCATAGGTGAAGAAAATTTATTAATTTTGATGTTTATTGAGTGCGTGAAATTTCAAGATGAAATATAAAAAATGGTAATTGAGCTTACTGCGGAAAATATCTTATTGGCTTGTGGTAATGGCTCTTTTGAGCCATATTTGAGTTGAGGTTATCATCAGTTTTGTTTGCTTGTATTGAAAACACTAGTTTTTGGTGTAGGCCCACTTTATTTTTTGGTCCAAATTTGCTATTGTTAATTTTGTTTTAGCCTTTTAGTTTGAAATTCTTTCATCTTAGGATTAATTAGCCATGTATTCGATTCTTATGGTCAATGTGGTTTATTCCAATTCCATTTCTAGTTAAATCACGATGTTTAATTTTCAAGGTACCTTAATATATAGAATTCTGGGTTGTTACACCCCTCAAACAAAGCCCTAGGCACACCCATCTAGACATGAAAAGCTAAGCTCTAGGGTTTGAGTGGCATTTTGTCCCTAACCACAGCTCATCCTCTTATTCTTTCAACTTCTGTTGGTTCGAACCTCCACTTAGATTCACCCAAACTTCATACTGTTCATGGATAGATCACCTAGGTTTGGGTCCATAAGTAGTGACAATTGCGCTATGAAGACTCACTTTCGCTACAACTATGGTGGGTTCCCTTAACCAAGCCACGGCCTATGAGTCACCGGTTCATTCTTCAACAAGCACGCGGTCAGAGCCTTGGGCTCCTCCAATTGCTTGGAAGGTTATGGTTTCATGTTCTACTTCACTTCCTGATGGAGGTTTTTTTCACCCTTTCCTCACGGTACTTCTTCGCTATCGGTCACCCATGAGTATTTCCCCTTACAAGGTGGTTCTTGCTGATTCACACGGGATTCCCCATGTTACTTGGGTCAGAGCATAAACTCTCCGAGCCTTAATATATAGAATTCTGGGTTGTTACACCCCTCAAACAAAGCACTAGGCACACCCATCTAGACATGAAAAGCTAAGCTCTAGGGTTTGAGTGGCATTTTGTCCCTAACCACAGCTCATCCTTTTATTCTTTCAACTTCTGTTGGTTCGAACCTCCACTTAGATTCACCCAAACTTCATACTGTTCATGGATAGATCACCTAGGTTTGGGTCCATAAGTAGTGACAATTGCGCTATGAAGACTCGCTTTCGCTACAACTATGGTGGGTTCCCTTAACCAAGCCACGACCTATGAGTCACCGGTTCATTCTTCAACAGGCACGCGGTCAGAGCCTTGGGCTCCTCCAACTGCTTGGAAGGTTATGGTTTCATGTTCTACTTCACTTCCTGATGGAGGTTCTTTTCATCCTTTCCTCACGGTACTTCTTCGCTATCGGTCACCCATGAGTATTTCCCCTTACAAGGTGGTTCTTGCTGATTCACATGGGATTCCCCATGCTACTCGGGTCAGAGCATAAACTCTCCGAGCTTAGTCTTATGCCCGTTACAGGAAGGAGCTAATGATAGAGTTACTACACCTAGCTCCTAAGAGGACGCCATGTGTCAAAACATAGGTATATCCCTCAAGAATCATGTGCCCATGGGCACCAAATGCTTTAACTCAGTAGTTATTGGCTCAATACTCCTCGGGAAAAAGCATATATTGATATATCATCTCCCTAGTCAAGTCGAAGGGTCAGCTTCCCAACTAACATGGGCCCTATCAAAGATATTAAATTTTGACACTTTATGATTCATACCATTGCCAAGCCAGAGCAAATTAGTACGCTAATCAAATAGCCTTGAATTGACTTCTTGCTAAATCCCATGATCTAGTGATGTGAACAGACCATGCCCAGATTTGTTAAGCTATTAGTTGCCATGCCCTTGGACTTCTTGTGGTCTTGCCATGTGTACCTGTGGTCAATTCTTAAAAAAGAAACTTCAAAAAAAGGCATGGTACCTTAAACATTACAAAATCATGTTGTACTGGCATATATTAGAACTATTATGGAAAATAAAATATATGAATTAGCTGGGAATGAAATGAAAATGAACTATATATGACCATAGATTTTTTTTTTTTAAATTTTAAAAATGAGTATATTCAAGAGCACCAAGCAGATGCAACCATGTACGAAATCAAGATATCAATATGTTCCCAAGATTCTCGCTAGAATGGAAGCTTAGGGTTTTAGAATTGGTTGAACCTGAACTGTAAATGTTCATGGTCTTGGAACTTGAATTAAGCTCAAATTCGTAGTGGCCATGCACATGACTGTTATTGATATGCAGTATGGGAAATTTAATTGAAGATTATTCTTTGTGTACTTTGCATAGAGATTGGCTGGCTATTCTTTACTGAGTTTCACTGGCCTTTCTCCTTTATTTTTCTGTTTATTTATTTAATTTTTTNNNNTCCGATGTATTAGTAAAGAACTGTTTTACTGGAATCTTTTTCGCTGGTTTATGCCTTGTGGTAGGAATTTTAAAATTCTCGTTTACTTTATTTATTATGGCTTTTTAGCAGAGAAAGCTTTCTTCAAGGATCTGTCATAAAAAGTTTTTTTTTCGAAATCCAGAGAACTGTTGTAAATATGAGAAAGTGAATGATTTAATTGAATTGGCTAGTTACATATGTTTCCTAATTCATGTTAAACGGGGCTAAGGACCTTTTAGAGTGATTCCTGAAAACTACTATGAAGGGCAAAATTATAGTTGGTTAAAGGGATCCTTCTATATATATATATATATATATATATATTTTCTGTATGTTGTTTTCCCTTTGTCTTATTGTTAAAAACTTATTTGAATTTTAAGTTGGTTTTTGTTTGTGGTAGGAAATTTAAATTAATATTCACATTATTTATGGATATAGCAGTGAAAGTTTTGTTTAAGGATCTATTTATAAGAATTTCCATTTCCCCTAAAACCAGACAACTTCTCGTCAGATTCCATGTGTGATGCCTACAAAAAAATTGAATATTGATTTGATGGTAGGAGAGATTCCAGTTTGTAAATATAGATTTTCTTTTGAAATAAAAGTATAAGATGTATATTGATGTGTCGGCGCCAAGTGGGGGCTACCTTTTAAAAAATTTACAAGTCAATAAGCATATCTACAATGTAATTAAAATCTTCCAAGTTATCAAGGTTATGTCCCAATACAACGGAACACTTGTTCTTCTTACACAATCCCTCCCAAGCCATTAACTCACTCTTAACAGATCTGGCCATAGACCAGCAGATACCCAAAAGTCCATAGACCAGTGTCCAAAGATTGTAAGTCACAGGACACCACACCAAAATGTGATTGCAGGAATCTGCGTTACTTTTGAAAAGGAAACATTTGTTAGTCATAATTTTACCTCTCTTCATGAGCTGTCGATAGTCAGTATACGTTCTTTTACAGCTTCCCAAGCAAATTCTAGGAGAAGTGCTAGCCTTCAAAATTATTTTTGTAGGAAAATCCGTCCTCTACTATCTTCTATGACCATCTAAGTAACTGTAGGAAGATTTAGCAGAGAAGGTGCCATTTTTTTCAATGACCAAAGTAATTTATCATCCTTATTGCTGAGACGTATGGTGGCCAAAGGCTGCAACAGGTTCTCATATTCTTCCACCTCCCAGTCTTGCAAATTCCTGCTAACTACAATATTCCAATCGCTGCCATTGTCATCACCAAAAGCCTTCTCAATGAGCATGTTCTTGTTCCGGGTGATACCACAAATCAGAGGGGAATCGCGTCTATAAGTCATCTGTCCTGCACCAGAACCAGAAGCGCTCCGTATAAATTTATTGTTCCAGTTTTCCTTGCTTCATTCTCTAGTTATATAGGATGATTTTTGATCTGTGTGTGATTGGCATGCTTGATCTTTATTTATGTAAATATCTCAAGTAAGAAATTTCTTGAATGAGAAAAAGATTTATGGTAATTGCAGGATGCAATGGAGAAAGCTATAAAAAACAAAGTTGCCAAAGCTGTAGTTCCAGCAATTGATGTCATGTTTCAAGCATTAAGGTTTGCATATGATAACTCTTCAATGAATCTATGCTTTAGTTTTGTCTTTTTTTTCATGTAATTGATCATGTTCTTTTTCTCTTTGTACCTAGTGAATTTGGAGCAAAAATTGTTCCTCCAAAACGGATTTTGAAGATGCTTCCTGAACTATTTGACCATCAAGATCAAAATGTTCGTGCATCATCTAAAGGGTTGACTATAGAGCTTTGCCGTTGGATTGGGAAGGATCCTGTAAAATCAATATTATTTGAGAAAATGCGGGATACAATGGTAAGATAGTTATTGACATGCATATGCCTTTATCTGGTCATTTGGTGGCAATTATATGATTGTTTCTTCTGCTGCATGAAGAAAAAAGAGTTGGAGGCTGAGTTGGTCAATGTTACGGGTACGGCTAAGCCTTCTAGGAAGATAAGGTGAGATTCACATTCTTAAGAAGAATTCTTTTATGGCATGGAAAAAGATGAAGCACTTTTTCGAAAAATTATGGGGCTGAGAGGACCTTTCCTGGTTGTGGATGTAACAAGTGATCTCTTTTTGAACCCCATCATCTTTTGATATCCTAGTGATTTTCCTTTTAGTTAGTTTGTTGAGATGGTGCAAAACCATGTGTAAGAAAGTTTCTCTTGATGGGATATCTGTCTTCTACCTTTCTGATGTTCACTCAGCTTTTAGTTGAAAGTTTACACCATCACAAGGGTGAACAGTGATTTCTTGCTTGATATCTGGTTTTGATGTTCATATATCCTTGTCTTGTCACCTTTTTTCTTTTTTATTTGTGTAAGATCTTTGTTAGTTTATTTTACTGCATAGGTTTTTTTGGTCTGGCCTATTGATTAGCTTGTTGAATTGATCTTGAATTGGTGAATTGGACTCCATGTGGTGGTGTTATTTTTGCTGCCTGCAAATTTGTATGAAATACATTTTCCAGATAATGGTAATGTTCATCCTGTCCCCTGGGGTTGCCATCTCTCAGTCTGTATTCTCTAGTACATATGTTTCAGAATGTCCACAATGTTATTCATGAAAAAATAAAGTGAAACGATCTTCTGTGAGAAACAACGGATGCATTCGTGTTGGTATCACTTTGCTTTTTCCTGATAAACAACTTGGTTCTTTGGGATTTTAGAATTAGATTGATAACATTAAACCACTCTGTTTGGATATTGGATTGATTGATTTACATGTGTTTAGATCTGAGCAAGACAAGGAGCCAGAACTGGAAGCTACATCTGAAGTTGCTGGTCCTGGCCCTTCTGAAGAATCTGCAGCTGATGGTATGTTGTTGACTGGTCTTGATTGGAAGATATTTATTATTACAGAGAAAAATTCTGTATGGAAACCATCTCTTGCGATGTATGCTAACATGTCTTGATTATCAGCTCCCGTGGAAATAGATGAATATGAGCTTGTTGATCCAGTTGATATATTGACTCCTCTAGAGAAGTCTGGATTTTGGGATGGAGTCGTAAGTTCTGTGTCCTGGTATTATGATATAAAGTTATTCAATATTTAGACAGTTCTGTTGATTGTATTTGTAATAAAACTTTCTTTTAGAAAGCTGCCAAGTGGTTGGAACGAAAGGAGGCTGTTGCAGAGCTAACCAAGCTTGCTTCAACAAAGAAGATAGCGCCTGGTGATTTTACCGAAGTTTGCCGGACTTTGAAGAAGGTGTATACCAATTGGAAATTAGAGGGCTGTTATTTCATGATTGTTTTTACAGTCCTCTTTTTGCAGATTAGATCTTTTACTCTCATCAAGATCATAAATGCATGCTGAGATGTTGAATGAATAAAGTCTTCTTTTTGCTTGAAATTGTTATTTTCATTGTGTTTGACACAAATGGAATTAATTATTCTCGTGGTGCATGATTTTGGTAAAAGAATGAGTTTTCATTTTTCCTGCTTTGATAGTTGTGCATAAGAAGTTGAATATAGATGCATGATGTGTTTGTTTGAATAGTGATGGTATAATCACAGGAATGACGAGAACTTTAGTTGAAGGAGGTTAAAGGTCATTTTCAAGAGGTTTTCAGCTCTTTTGTTTTCTTAATTTGGCTTAGTAGTGTACACAATTTCGAAAGCTATGTGCAACTAATGTCTTGATGATAAGTATATAAAATGTTTACCCTAGATACAAATATATTAAGAGATTAGGTTTTTGACATCTACTGAAATTTGAAATTTGTAATGGTGTGGTATGGGTTGGTCAATATATGTTCTATGTTGATAGAAAAATTTTCCCTGTTTGGTGTGGAATTGAATGTTCTGCTGAAACACTGGTTCTTTTGAGACTTTGACTAGAATATGGCGTGTTTTTAAAGTTTTGGGCGCTTCGATTTTTGATTCATTTCATTGATGGCCAAACATGTGGTGCATTAAATTAATGCCATTACAGGAGGAGGTGCTGGTGTGATATGAATCTGCAAGTGTTATTGCTTAGAAATCTTAAAACAAGCAGTGTTTTCTTTGAATCAAGACTTCAGTGTATTTATGTGAAGTTGGCTGATAAAAAAATAATCATTCTTTCAGGACTGTTAAATAAGATTCAAAGTTTTTTTCCTGGCATGTGTGTCAATGTGTTTCTAATTAAACAGTTAGAGTTTTGCATGCCATGTGAAATGTATTGTCGGTTGATGCAATATTTTTTTATTTGACAAAGATCTTTCAAACAATTATTTTTTTGCAGCTAATTACAGATGTAAACATAGCTGTCGCTGTTGAAGCTATTCAAGCCATTGGTAATCTTGCCCGTGGTCTACGAACTCATTTCTCCGGGAGTTCACGCTTTTTGTTACCTGTTTTGCTCGTGAGTATAATATCTACTTCTTTATTCGCGCATTTTGATGGCACAATGTGCTCTCTTGTTATCTTCTTGATGCAATGCAGGTTTTCTCATATGTCATGTTCTATTTATTAACCTATGCCTACTTTTATTCCTAGTGGAGCTTTTGGTGGTGATTGGTGATGTAATTCCAAGCAATGTGTTCTTTGAAACTTAAAACAAGATGATTAATGAACACATTATGAAAAGAAAGAAAATGCTTTAACTTCTACAGAAAGTGATATGAAATATAAAAGTTTGATGTAATCTTTTAATGAAAGCTTGTTTTATAGAGTTAAGGCAATGGTTATTATAATAATTGAGCTAAAATCTGGTTTAGAATTAAGGTTAGGAGTATGTTAATAGTTATAAAAGCTTAATTGTTTTATGTTTGTACATATGAAATCGTACGTATCTGTTTTTTTTTTTTTTGAAAGTAAATGAAATCATATTTATCTTGCTTGTCATTTGGATGCTTACTTTCTGGTAAGATTGGACTTGTGCTGAGAGGAGTGATGACCAAGAGAAGTGACAACCGGACGAGAGGGAGGTTTGACCATATGTTTTGATCGGCTAAGAGAAGATAACAGGATGTAGGCCGAGCATGCTTCGACATCCAATGTTGACGCACTGGGGGGTGGTCAGAATGGTTATTTAAGAAAGAAGATTTTTGACCATCGAAAGCAAGACCTTTGATGTCGTTTGTAAGGGAAAAAATCAGAAGGAATAAGGGTGAGTGAGAATGGGTGGGAATTTAGGGGAGATGAAGTGGACTACTTGTTGGGAGCTTTATGAATTATTGAACTAAAGGCAGAAAGGTATGAGGTCAGAACAAGACAAGAAGGAGCCACAACTTGTGGGTGGCCATGAGCATGAACATGAGGGGAAAGTTTATGGTCTTCATAGAGGAGAAAGGGGAGGCATTGAGGTGAATTTTTATTCTAAAAGGGCCACAGGCTGGCAGATGGTGGAGAATGACGATGAAGCTATTTGAAATGGTGGGGAGAAAATTTGAGACATTGGAGAAGCCCAAGGAGGCCAAAATAGATGTTCAAAAGTAAGTGCATAGTCTGGAAGGAGGTCAAGGAATTCGTTTGTCATCCTATGCTGTTCAAACTATAGAACGAAGCTGTGGGTGAGATTAGAGGCGAGGAGAGGGAAAAGCTTTGTTGAATTTGTGGAGGCAAATTTAGGACAAGGGAGTTGGGTAGGAGAGAGAAGACCCGTTTCCAATACGGGTCGGGTCTGGTCAATTTTATTTTTCAAGATTCTAATTACCAAAATGCAGGGGAGGTGTATCGTTTTTGTGTAGCCCAAAAGTAGGGGGCAAACATCATTTTGGGGATAATTAGAATCGGAATGGGTATTAGAGGAGTGAGCCTTGCAAAAGGAATGATGGGCTATATAAACGTCAGACACGAGCCAAGAAAAGGAAATGGGTTGAGCAGGCTGAGTCTGGGAGACGGGTTCGAAGATCAGGTCTTGGTTAAAATGGATCTAGAGACCCATGACCCAAAAAACAACCCACGAAGTGTATCGAGATTGAGCAGGAACTCTCCTGATCGGCAGTGAAGGTGGATGCTCGCATTGATTTCAGTGGTGGAGAGGATAGCAGTAGAGTGGGGAGATGAGTGGTGATCATAAGGAGGAAGAATCTAGTGGGAAGAAGGGGAGAGAAACTGAAGCTTCTATGGCTCACTGTAACCTGGCTGAGACTGGAGAGGAGGGTTCCTCCTGAATTGTGCAGTGGTGTTGGTGGAGAGTGAGGTGTTGATAATCACACTGAGGCGAGATGAAGTGGTGGAGGTGGAAATTCCGGTGGGGGGGGGGGGAGGGAAGGAAATTCAAGATAGGTCCTTTAGAATGTTTAATGGATTAGTAGCATACTTGGGGTCTTTTTTGACGGATGAAACTTTTAAGGAGATAAAAAAAAGAAGGTAGATGGTGAGAGAGGGATTAAAAAAAGCAAATGCAAAAAATAAATAGGGGGTGGAGGGTTTCAGAGAATTGAGAAGGCTATTGTCTACCATTAATTATGAGAATTTGAGGAAAGGGGAAAAAAAAGAGAGCAAGGGTGTTTGAAGATGTTTGATTCATGTTTCGTCGCATCATTTCTTGTAATGTTAGGGTATAAATCACCATAAGAAGATACAAGTTATTGGAGGTTGTATGAATATATAGAAAGAAGTGAGTCGACCACTAAAACTACTGGTCCATGATGTGGTTTGCCGGCATAAATCTAAAATATAGGGGCTTGAAAGACTACGGTGAGAGGTTAGAAAGATCTACTTGTTATGGGAGCATCTAGAGGGATTTTAATTATGTGGAAATAGGTTTTTAAATGTGAGGAGGTGATGTTGGGAGAACGCTTTATTTCATGCATGTTTTAAAATCATAGAAATGGTGAAAATGATTGTTTACTGGTGTTTATAGCAGAGGAAAAGGAGAGAGAGAGGTTCGCTGTGGAAGGACTTGGAGGACTCCAAGCAAAAATAGGACTTCCCGTGGGTTATGTGCCATGGTTTCAATATATTATTGAACAGACATGAAAGGTTTGGAGAGCACTTCTCGAGTGTTTGTACTGAAAAATTTAAAGAGAATCTTGACATATTTGAATTACTGGATTTATCTCTAATGGGAGGTAATGTGGTCTTGGTTCAATATGAGACTCAATCTGGCTTCAAAAATTAACATGTTTTTGGTGTCGGTTTCTTACCAATTGCAAATAATGGGTCTATGCGAAAAACTTTGTAATGGACTATCTTTAATTATTTGCCTATTTGCCGTATCTCAGATGGGATTAAGTGGGGTCATTCCCCATTCAAGTTTGAAGATAAGTGGTTGAAAGTTAATGGTCTTTGCAGTGTGGAGAGGAGCAATTGTGAATGGTAAGTTTAGCTTTAGAGTGGCTCAAAAGATGAAGGTAGTGAAGATTGAAATTAAAAAGTGGAGCAAGGAGGAGGGGAGGAGTGAAGGAATATGCGCCCAATCTTTATTGCAAGATATTGAGGTTATTGAAAGGATGGAGGGGAATCCATAAACCTTGAATTGGTATACCGATTACAAATGAATAACATATCATGGAGATAAAAATCGAGAGCCAGGTGGATAAAAGAGGGAGAAAAAAGCACAAAATTCTTCCATACCATGGCAAATCATCATAAGAGGATTTACTCTACAGAGGAGATGGAAGTACTATGTAGATTATATTGCAAGGAGTTTAGTTTGAGGCGCAAGTTGGATGGTCTCACCTTTATGTTTTTGGATGAGTTGAACTGAGAATCGCTTGTAAAAGAGTTCACTACGGAGATCCTTGAGGGATTCATGCAATGCAAAAGTGAGAAAGCTCTTGGATCTGATGGTTTCAACATGGGTTTTCTGCAAAAATTTTTGGTACGTTATAAAGGAGGAGATTCTTGAGCATTTTAAAAAAATTGCATAAATTTGGATACTTTATTAAATTGTTTAATTTTTCTTTCTTGGTTCTCATTTGTAAGGTAAAAGGACAACAAATATTAAGAGCTTCAGACTTATCAACTTAGTTGGTGGAGTCTTTAAGCTCATTGTGAAATTAATGGCTAGAAGGATAGCCAATGTGATGGATAAAGTGGTTGGCGAGTGTCAACATGTTTTTGTGAAAGAAAGACAAATTCAGGATGCGACTCTTGTGGCTGATGAAGTTGTGGATGAGCTGTTATTGATGAATAAAAAGGGTGTCCTATGTAAGTTCGATCTGGAAAAACCTACAATCATGTAAATTGAGGCTTTCTTGATTATATGTTAAGGAATTTGTGCTTCGTGGACAAAAGGTGTAGGTGGATTAACTCTTGTATCACTACAACCTCTTTTGCGGTTATGGTGAATAAGGATCCATATTCTTTTTTAAAGGCATCCAGAGGTCTTAGACAAGATGATCCATTATATTCCATATTTTTTATTGTTTTCATGAAAGTCTTAAACAAAATATTGTTAAGAGTCAGAGAGTAGGAGTTTAAAAATTTAAAGGTGGGTGAGGGTGAGCATATAAAGGAGGTAACTCACTTATTTTTTACTGATGACACTTTAGTATTTTGTGAACTAGACAAAAGGGCAAATATTAACTTTAGATGCAATTTATTGAGTTTCAAGTAGTTTCTAGTCTCAATATCAACTTAACCAAGTCTGAAATGATGAGATGGGTGATGAGAGGGATGCTCCGAAGTTGGCGAGAGTCATGGGGTGTAAAAGTTTAGAGTTGCCGATTAAGTCCTTGGGATTATCTCTGGAGGTCAAATATGAAGATGTGAGGATGTAGGATCCTATAGTGGCGAGGTTTGAGAGGAGGTTGGTGGGATGGAAGAGAGACCTTTT